TACATTATCTTACATTATCTTACATTATCTTACATTTTTTCAGTATATCACATTATATTACCGTATCTTTCATTATATTGTATTGTATTTATATTATGTTATGTTATGTTATATTCTATTCTATTCTACTACATTATGATATAGTATATTATGTTATATTAATTATATGTATATATGTATTTATTGAGTTGTTATTTGTTTCTTTATGCATATACTATACGACTATGCACGTACATAGACGCAGATACGAGTGTGCGGCATCGAGGCGAACTCCTATCCAACAATCTGTCGGCCCATCTCGAAAGCAAACGTTCATCATGGACAGTTATACATACATCCACGCATGCCTCCATGCACGTATACCCGGGCAAACAGACATACATGGATAGATACGTGGGCAGAGAGAACAGCAAGCAGACCCACAGATGGATCTGTCATGATATGTCAGGGGATGGACATGGACATGAACCTGACGATGTGTTAGTGCGCATGCGCGGTCATGCGCGATGTTCGATCTTCGAAGTGGTCTAAGGCAATGGCAGTTCAGAAGCATTCCGAACTTGTCGGGCGTCTGCTTGGAGGCGACAAGCGCAGGAAGACCCAGAACCACCACAAAGAGGCTGTTCGACACATGTGCCTGGAAGCGTTGAGGTTGCAGCAATGCAGCATGCAACGGAAGCCAGCATGCAGCCAAGGGACGGGGAGCCAACCCATCAAGGAATGCAACGCCAAAGGCAGCTCGCCCTTGATGGGTGGCTGTCTAATATCTCTGACATCTCTGCATGAAGGACATTCACTCCCAAGCTTTCTGTGCATGCTGCACAGCCTGGTACGTATGCAAGACATTGAGAGCTGCCACTTCGAAGCGAAACACGAGGTCTTCGCGATCACCTGAGACAAGGCCACTTTTCAACTAACTGCGTGGATGAGCCCTGCAACATCATCAATGAAGAGCTGAAGAATCCGATGCTTCAACATAAAAACAGTTTATCCCAGGACAGACGGCAGTTGCCGATGAATGAAGAACTTCGGCTGTCAGCCTGGGGGCCGAGGAAATACCTGAAAAACTCTCCCAATGGTGAGTGGCCCACGAACCTCTCTTCGATGAGAAGCGGTGATTTGCAAGCCTCCCTCAGAAAAAATAAAGCCAAGAACCCGCCAAACTTCCTACTCCCTTTGTCGTACGTGGACCTTAGCGCAGCTGCACAACCAAGTGGCCAAAAAGGGATTGGCCGAGGCCCGTGGTGAAGGCACGGAAGAAACGATGTTCGAACTGCCGCATGCCCTCAGGGGAGCTCTGTTTCTCACACGGCGCTTCCAAGCCATAAAAGGACTTTGCTTGAACGTTGCCTTCTCCTTGGCTCGTTGCCGCCGCTCATTGCGGGCGGCCTGCCTTGCGGCATCCGCCACGCTGCCCGCGGCCTGGCCAATCGCACCAGTGACTTTGCCGGCCAGGCTGTTGATGCCTTGCACTTGGTAGCCGGAAAGCTTCTGCTGTCAGTCTCTGTATACGAAGCAAGGGGCTCATCATCTGCAGTCTCTTTGCCAATGAATTCCTGGGGACCAAAATTGCAGCGAAGGCCCGAAGAAGCATTTATATAAATTTATACACATCTGAATCACACGGCAGCTCTGCTCTGCCGAGGCGCTTGGAGAAGTTCACGGGAGCTCCCAGCGGATGAACCGGTGCCGGGCCCCGGCGGCCGCCCACGTCGCCGAACAAAGCGTCCTTCCAGGGCTTGGAGCCCCGGCCTCGGCGCGCCATGGAGCGAAGCGAAGAGAGAGAGAGAGAG